TAATATCTACTAATCTCTTTGTAATTTGATACAAAACATTTTAAATAATTCCATGTAGTACAATGCTCTTTTCTTTAAACATGAATAAACACTTTTTCTATTAAGTAGTAAATACGCACATGGTAAAGTTGTAAAGTTAAACCCGAATTTTATTTTAGACTTCGCACGTAAGCAAGTCAGGGTACGTGGTGTGGAAGTAGGAGGTCGAACCTGTTGGACTTGATTTTCCAAACATAAAAATTCCCTTCATCCTAAAACCCTAAAACTCTCTCTCCTCTCCTCTCTGCACCATCTCCAAAACAGTTATGGCCGCTTCTTCCCTGGACCAAGAAACGGCCAAGGCAGTTCTTCGTCAGGTCAAAATGTTTCCCAGATTTCTATTAGGAATCCGTTTTAGTCTTCAATCATTGAGAAAACTGATTTTTCTTTAAAAAAAAAAAAAAATTGCAGGTGGAATTTTATTTCAGTGACAGCAATATTCCCAGAGACAATTTTCTCAAGACAAAAATGAGCGAGAGCGAAGATGGCAGTATGTTTTTCTGTTCACTCATTATACCGATTTTTAGTACTCCTTCTCTTTGTTTTGATTATGTTGTTCTTCTTGAATTTGAATAAAGTGGTTAGCTTGGCTTTGATATGCTCGTTTTCGAAGATGAGAGAGCATTTAAAGTTAGGAGCTGTGAAGCCCGAGGAAGTATCAGAGGATACTGTGAAAGCTGTTGCTGAAACTCTCAAGGCATCTTCTTCCCTCAAGGTCTCTGAAGATGGTGAGTCCTTATTAGATAATCTGAGCCTAAAAGTCCGTTTAAAAGATTTTTATTGGTTTGTTAAATTTTGGGTTTTTGGGTTTCAGGGAAGAAAGTTGGTAGGAGTGCTGAACTCTTGAAGCCAGAGGAATTGATAGAGCAATTAGATGTGAGAACAATAGCTGCATCTCCTTTCGAATATGATGTAAAGAGGGAAGCTTTGGAGTCCTTTTTTGGTCAATATGGCAAGGTATTTCTTACTTCCATTGTTTCAATTTGTGTCGTTTTTAATTGTTTGATTGGTTTATCTTTAATGCTTATTACGTGTTTAATGATTATGAGATATGTGATCTTGTCTATTTTTTAGGTTAATAGTGTGAGGTTGCCTCGTCATGTAGCGGACAAAAGGTTATTTTGTGGGACTGCTCTGGTTGAGTTCTCAGCAGAGGAAGATGCTCAAAAGACATTGGAGCAAAGCTTGGTTTATGCAGGTGTAACGCTGGAACTAAAACCAAAGTAAGCTCTATTACAACTTTGTGTTTCATTTGAATTAGGCAATAGCTTGCCTAATGATCTTGCAAAAAACCTAATTAAGTATAGTATTTAAACTTTCAATGGGGGAAGTAGTTGTTTCAATATATTTACTGCTTCCATCAAATGTGGTTGGTTTGGTATTTTTTTCCATCATAGTGCTTGCATCCTTGTTTTGTGGTAATTTTTTTTTTTCTCCTTTTCAATGCAGAAAAGATTTTGACGAGGGAAGAGAAAAGGAAGCAGAGGAGTTTGAGAAATCACATCCAAGTTCAAATCGTAAGAACAATACAAATGGAGAAGCAAAGTAAGTTATTGCTGAATGCTCTGTGAGTTGTTATTTCTGTGCTAAATGTTCTTAACCTAACTCTGTTCACATGACCATAGTTACCCCAAGGGTTTGCTTGTTGCATTTACATTAAAGAACATATCAGCTGTGGACTCCAGTGATCCAAACGGATCTGATAAACCAGCCAAGGATGATGCTACCGAAGGTAGTGAGCAGAAGTTGCTGGAAAATGATAGTGACAAGGACAAAGAAGTTGATGAGAAAAATGAAAGTCCAGAAATGGACGCCAAAGATGGAGATAAGTCTTCTGAAAGTCCAGCTGAAAAAGATGAAAGCCTGGGAGGAAAACCTCCTTCTGCCTATAAAAACGATATGAATGTTGTCTTGCGTGAGGACCTGAAAGATGTATTTCAAAAATTTGGTACTGTCAAGGTATCAATCTATGCTAATTTCTTTTCTTTCGGTTCAGACTAGAAGCCTCTGATATATTTTCAGTAAGGATCTTGTTGAAAACGGTAGTTCATACTACATATTTATTTTATAGTTTATAGCTGAGTTATTCTCTCTTTTTGTGATTGTTTACTCTAATTAGACTACTAAAGAAAAAAAAGCTTGATTCTTATGAAAAGGCAAAACTTGAAACTAATTTAAAGGACTTTGGACTAGAGCAAGTAATTGCTTTGGTCTCTTTCTGGCATCTTGTTGTTGCTTCCTTCTGTTTATTTACCTTTGATGTGTACCTTCTCTGCCTTGTGAAGTTCGTTGATTTTAAAATTGGCGAGGATTCGGGTTATATCCGCTTTGAAGCTCCTGAAGGATCTCAGAAAGCTCGTGCAGTTGCAGTCTTGGCTAAAGAAGGTGGTCTGGTTGTCAAGAATTTCATTGCTATTCTAGAACCAGTAACTGGTATGTGTCCACAACGTTGTTTTATTTAGACTTTTATTTGGAAGTATTTTCTTGCATAAGGAGTTTCTGATTTCTCCCTTTCCCCTTTTTCTTATTATGTCCTTGGACAAGCTGTGTTGGTTGCCTGTACCTGTGGCATCCGGTCAATAGAATCTTGTATAGTTGCATGTGATGTTATGAGAAGAAACTAATGATGGGTCGGTGTTTTTGCTATTTGCATCTTAGGGGATGCTGAAAGGGACTATTGGGGCCAAATTCGTGGTAACCAAGAAAGGCACCGAGAGAGTAAAGGCAACCGAGGAAGGTCAGTTCAAAGACCCACTTTCCCTGCAACTTTGCACTCTCCTCTGTTAATCACCAAACAACTTTTAGTCGTTCTTTCTCGCACTTGCTTTCCATGATTAATCTTCTCGTGTGTTTATGCTTCTCAGGGGAGGAAAACACCATAGAGGTGGCAAACATGCCCGTCGAAGAGAAAATGATTCTCCAGCAGGTCGTCCAAACAAAGCTCAAAAAGTTGCTGCAGCGTGAGAATCATAAGAGTGTTCTCTAAATTTTCTATGACTGTAGGATATATATATATATTTGAATGTTGGGGGTGGGATTTGAAGTCCACACCTACCAAGCTTAACGTGAAAAGTTCTTTACAATGGGAGGTTGCCATTAGGCTACTAGGATGTTCTTGTAGGATGCATATTTTTGTTTTGCAAGAGTTTGAGGATTTGATAAATTATATGTACTAATGCACTGGGGATTTTCTTTTGGTAATACTATTATGTTTTCGGTTGTTAGTTTTTTGTTTTTATTGTTTTTTTTTTTTCTATTTAATAACAATTGATATATTTAGAAATTAAAGTCTATCACATCAACTTAAATACTGTAATAGTTATTAAAAAAAAAATAAAACTTAAAATAAAACTCAATTCAACAAAATGTTTTCAATAATGATGCTTAAAAAAGAATTTTAAAAAATGTTGCAATTATGATTTAGTGTTTTTTGGTTTTCTGTGTGTCAATGTTTTTTATTATTATTATTATTATTATTAATTTTATGGTATAGATCTGGA